TTATATCCCCATATCCCCAACCCCATGTGCTATACCCATATCGCGATATCCCATATCCCGATACCCCATACCCTGTATCCTGATATCCATAACCTATATCTCATACCCATATCCCGATATCCCATACCCCACACCCCCTATCGCGATATCCCACACCCTATATCCCATACCCCATATCCCCACACCCCCTATCGCAGTATCCCCACACCCTATATGCCGATACCCTATATCCTGATATCCCACACCCCACATCCCTGTCGTGATTATCCCACACCCTATATCCCATACCCCCTATCCCCATACCCCCCACCCCCTATCATGATATCCCATACCCCACAACCCTATCGCGATATCCCACACCCCATACCCCACATCCCCTATCCCATACCCCATATCCCCTATTGTGATATCCCACACCCTATATCCCATACCCCACACCCCTATCCCCATATCCCATACCCCACACCCCCTATCGCGATATCCCACACCCTATATCCCCATACCCCACACCCTATATCCCGTACCCCATACCCCACATCCCCTATCGTGATATCCCACACCCCATACCCCACACCCCCTATCCCCACACCCCATATCCCATACCCCATATCGCGATACCCCCCACCCCCTATCGCGATATCCCACACTCCACACCCCATATCCCATTCCCCATATCGCGATATGGCACACCCCATACCCCACACCCCCTATCCCCACACCCCTTATCCCATACCCCATATCGCGATACCCCCCACCCCCTATCGCGATATCCCACACCCCATATCCCACACCTCACATCCCATATCGCGATATCCCCACCGCCCCCCACCCCCTATCGCGATATCCCATTGACCCCCGTGCCCCCTCTCCCCCTCCCCCCCCCCCCCCCCCCCCCCGAGTCTCAGCTTCCGGCCGCGCACGCGCGCTTTGTACCGCGGGAGGGGTTTGTGGGTAGCGGAAGTGACGTCAGCCACTTAGCGGAAGCGACGTCAGTCCCTTAGCGGAAGTGACGTCAGCCCCTTAGCGGAAGTGACGTCTGCTCGGCGGGGCGGTTTGAACCGCGCGCGGCCGTTGCGGGGAGCCCCCCGCGCCGTGACGTCACTGCGCGGCGCTGTGAGGTCATCATGCCGCGCGCCAAACCCGCCGCGCCCCGGCGCAGGAGAGCCCCGGAGAGACCCCCCCGGAGAGCCCAGGCGGCGCCGTGAGTGACCCATAGGGAACCCCATAGCGGGACCCCCATAGAGACACATAGGGACCCATAGGGACCCATAGAGACCCATAGAGACCCCCATAGGACCCATAGAGACCCATAGGGACCCATAGAGACCCTCATAGAGACCCATAGAGACCCATAGAGACCCCCATAGAGACCCATAGGGACCCATAGAGACCCATAGGGACCCATAGAGACCCATAGAGACCCATAGGGACCCATAGAGACCCATAGAGACCCCCATAGAGACCCATAGGGACCCATAGAGACCCCCATAGAGACCCATAGGGACCCATAGAGACCCCCATAGAGACCCATAGGGACCCATAGAGACCCATAGGGACCCATAGAGACCCCCATAGGGACCCATAGAGACCCATAGGGACCCATAGAGACCCATAGAGACCCCCATAGAGACCCATAGGGACCCATAGAGACCACCCATAGAAGCCCATAGAGACACATAGGCACCCATGGGGACCCATAGAGACCCATAGGGACCCCTATAGGGCCCATAGAGGCCCCCAAAGGGACCCATAGGCACCCCGCATAGGAACCCATAGGCACCACCCATAGGGATCCATAGGGGGCCAGAGGGGACCTATAGGGACCCAGAGAGACCCATAGGAACCCAGAGGGACCTATAGGGACCCATAGGGAGCTGCTATAGACACCTATAGGCACCCCCCATAGAGACCATAGGCACCCCCATAGAGACCCATAGGCACCCCCCCATAGGGATCCAGAGAGATCTATAGGGACCTATAGACACCCCCCCCCCCAGAGACCCATAGAGAACCCCCTATAGAACCCCCCCCCCCCACTCTGCACCCTCCTATGGCCACCCCAAATGGGATCCCCTATGGACCCGCCCCCCTCCCTGCCCTATAGCTCCTCCCTGCCCCATAGCTCCCCCCGCCCTATAGCTCCTCCCTGCCCTATAGCTCCTCCCTGCCCCATAGCTCCCCCCGCCCTATAGCTCCCCCTGCCCTATAGCTCCCCCCTGCCCTATAGCTCCTCCCTGCCCTATAGCTCCTCCCTACCCCATAGCTCCCCCCTACCCTATAACTCCCCCTGCCCCATAGCTCCCCCTGCCCCATAGCTCCCCCCTGCCCCATAGCTCCTCCCTGCCCTATAGCTCCCCCTTCCCCATAGCTCCTCCTTGCCCTATAGCTCCCTCCTGCCCTATAGCTCCTCCCTACCCCATAGCTCCCCCTACCCTATAACTCCCCCTGCCCCATAGCTCCCCCCTGCCCCATAGCTCCCCCCTACCCTGTAGCTCCGCCCTGCCCTATAGTTCCTCCTTGCCCTATAGTTGCCCCCTGCCCTATAGCTCCCCCTGCCCCATAGCTCCCTCCTGCCCTATAGCTCCTCCTTGCCCTATAGCTCCCCCTCCCCATAGCTCCTCCTTGCCCCATAGCTCCCCCCTGCCCATAGCTCCCTCCTGCCCTATAGCTCCTCCTTGCCCCTATAGCTCCCCCCTCCCCTATAGCTCCTCCCTGCCCTGTAGCTCCTCCTTTCCCTATAGCTCTCCCTTGCCCCATAGCTCCCCCCTCCCCCATAGCTCCCCCATGCCCTATAGCTCCCCCCTGCCCCATAGCTCCCCCCTGCCCTATAGCTCCTCCCTGCCCTATAGCTCCCCCCTTCCCATAGCTCCCCCCTGCCCCATAGCTCCCCCCTGCCCCATAGCTCCCCCGTGCCCCATAGGTCCCCCCTTCCCCATAGCTCCCCCTGCCCCATAGCTCCCCCTGCCCTATAGCTCCTCCTTGCCCTATAGCTCCCTCCTGCCCCAATAGCTCCCCCTGCCCCATAGCTCCCCCTGCCCCATAGCTCCCCCTGCCCCATAGCTCCCCCTGCCCCATAGCTGCTCCCGTGACCCCCGTGCCCGCAGGGTTCCGGCCCGGGAGGCGGGCGCTGCAGGAGATCCGCATTTACCAGAGCAGCACCCGGCTGCTGCTGCGCGCGGGGCCCTTCGCGCGCGTGGTGAGACCCCGAAACACCCAAAACCAGCCCAAAACCAGCCAAAACACCAAAAAACAGCCCAAAACCAGCCCAAAACACCAAAAAACAGCCCAAACCAGCCCCAAACACCCCCAAAACAACCCAAAAACAGCCCAAAACACCAAAAAACACCCCCAAAACACCCAAAACCAACCCAAAAACAGCCCAAAACCCAAAAAACAGCCCAAAACCAGCCCAAAACACCCCCAAAACAACCCAAAAACAGCCCAAAACACCAAAAAACACCCCCAAAACACCCAAAACCAACCCAAAAACAGCCCAAAACCAAAAAACAGCCCAAAACCAGCCCCAAACACCCCCAAAACAACCCAAAAACAGCCCAAAACACCAAAAAACACCCCCAAAACACCCAAAACCAAACCCCCAAAAACAGCCCAGAACACCAAAAAACAGCCCAAAAACAGCCCAAAACACCAAAAAACACCCCCAAAACACCCAAAACCAACCCAAAAACAGCCCAGAACACCAAAAAACAGCCCAAAAACAGCCCAAAACACCAAAAAACACCCCAAAACACCCCAAACCAACCCAAAAACAGCCCAAAACACCAAAAAACAGCCCAAAACAGCCCAAAACACCAAAAAAACACCCCCAAAACGCCCAAAACCAACCCAAAAACAGCCCAAAACACCAAAAACCAGCCCAAAACCAGCCCCAAACACCCCCAAAACAACCAAAACCAGCCCAAAACACCAAAAAACACCCCCAAAACACCCAAAACCAACCCAAAAACAGCCCAGAACACCAAAAAACAGCCCAAAACCAGCCCAAACACCCCCAAAACAACCCAAAAACAGCCCAAAACACCAAAAAACACCCCCAAAACACCCAAAACCAACCCAAAAACAGCCCAAAACCCAAAAAACAGCCCAAAACCAGCCCAAAACACCCCCAAAACAACCCAAAAACAGCCCCAAAACACCAAAAAACAGCCCAAAACACCCCAAAACCGCCACAAAACAACCCCAAAACCAGCCCAAACACCAAAAAACAGCTCAAAACAGCCCAAGACACCCCAAAACAGCCCCAAAACACCCAAAAACACCCCCAAACACCCCCAAAACAGCCCAAACCAGCCCAAAACACCCAAAAACACCCAAAACCAGCCCCAAACAGCCCCAAAACACCCCAAAACACCCCAAAACACCCAAGAACAACCCAAAACCACCCTGAAACACCCCAAAACAGCCCAAAAACAACCCAAAACACCCAAAAACACCCAAAAACACCCCAAAAACACCCCCAAAACACCCCCAAACCAGCCCAAACCAGCCCAAAACACCCAAAACCAGCCCCAAAACACCCAAGAACAACCCAAAACCACCCTGAAACACCCCAAAACACCCCCAAAACAGCCCCAAAACACAAAAAACCACCCCCAAAACACCCCAAAAACAGCCCAAAACACCAAAAAACACCCCCCAAAAACACCCCAAAACCGCCCCAAAACCACCCCAAAACACCCAAACCCCGCCCCAAAACAACCCAAAAACACCCCAAAACAGCCCCAAAACACCCAAAAACACCCAAAAACAACCCAAAACCACCCTGAAACACACCAAAACAGCCCAAAACCAACACAAAACACCCCAAAACACCCCAAAACAACCCCAAAAAACCCCAAAACACCCAAAACCACCCCAAAACCAGCCAAAACAGCCGAAACAGCCCAAAACACCCAAAAACCGCCCAAAAACAACCCAAAACCACCCCAAACCACCCCAAAACAGCCCCAAAACAGCCCAAAACACCCAAGAAGAACCCAAAACCACCCTGAAACCCCCAAAACCACGCAAAACCAGCCCAAAACAGCCCCAAACAGCCCAAAAACACCCCAAAAACACGCTGAAACACCCCAAAACAGCCCCAAAAACACCCAAAACCTCCCCAAACCAGCCCCAAACACCCCAAAACAGCCAAAACCACCCTGAAACACCCCAAAACACCCCTAAAACAAACCAAAACACCCTGAAGCAACCCAAAAACACGCCAAAACACCCCAAAATACCCCGAAAACTCCCCAAAACCACCCCAAAACACCCAAAACCACCCCAAAACACCCCCAAAACCACCTTGAAACACCCAAAACCACCCCAAAAACTCCCCAAAACTCCATGAAACACCCCAAAACCACCCTGAAACACCCCAAAACACCCTAGAACAACCCCAGAACACCCTAAAACACCCCAAAACTAGCCCCAAACACTACAAAACAGCCCAAACCACCCCCAAAACCACCCTGAAACACCCCCAAAACCCACCCCAAATATGCCAAAAACATACCAAAAACACCCCAAAACACCCCCAAAACACCCCGTAACACCCCAAAACCACCCCTGAAACACCCAAAACACCACCAGAACACCCCCCATTGCCCCCCATGTCCCCATTACCCCCATTGCCCCCCATTGCCCACATTCCCCATTGCCCCCATTACCCCCATTGCCCCCATTGCCCCCATTGATCCCCATTGCCCCCATGTCCCCCATTACCCCCATTACCCCCCATTTGCCCCCCATGTCCCTGTTGCCCCCCATGTCCCCCCATTGCCCCCATTACCCCCCATTGCCCCCCATTGCCCCCCATGTCCCCATTACCCCCATTACCCCCATTGCCCCCCATGTCCCCATTACCCCCATTACCCCCATTGCCCCCATTGCCCCCATTGCCCCCCATGTCCCCATTACCCCCATTACCCCCATTGCCCCCCATGTCCCCATTACCCCATTGCCCCCCATGTCCCCATTACCCCCATTACCCCCATTGCCCCCCATTACCCCCATTGCCCCCATTGCCCCCATTGCCCCCATGTCCCCATTACCCCCATTACCCCCATTGCCCCCCATGTCCCCATTACCCCATTGCCCCCCATGTCCCCATTACCCCCATTACCCCCATTGCCCCCATTACCCCCATTGCCCCCCATGTCCCCACTGCCCCCCATTACCCCCATTACCCCCATTACCCCCATTACCCCCATTACCCCCATTGCCCCCCCATTACCCCCATTACCCCATTACCCCCCATTGCCCCCATTCCCCCCATTGCCCCCCAGGTTCGGGAGATCTCTTTCCAGTTCTCCCGCCGGGAGCACTACCTGTGGCAGGCCATGGCGCTGCTGGCCCTGCAGGAGGTGGGGGCTGGGGTCACGTGGGTGCTGGGGGTCACGTGGGTGCTGGGGTCCTATGGGTGCTGGGGTCACGTGGGTGCTGGGGTCACATGGGTGCTGGGGTCACGTGGGTGCTGGGGTCCTATGGGTGCTGGGTCACGTGGGTGCTGGGGTCACATGGGTGCTGGGGTCATGTGGGTGCTGGGGTCCTATGGGTGCTGGGGTCACATGGGTGCTGGGGTCACGTGGGTGCTGGGGTCCTATGGGTGCTGGGGTCACGTGGGTGCTGGGGGTCATGTGGGTGCTGGGGTCACGTGGGTGCTGGAGTCATGTGGGTGCTGGGGGTCACGTGGGTGCTGGGGGTCACGTGGGTGCTGGGGGTCACGTGGGTGCTGGGGTCACGTGGGTGCTGGGGGTCACATGGGTGCTGGGGGTCACATGGGTGCTGGGGTCACGTTGGTGCTGGGGGTCCTATGGGTGCTGGGGTCATGTGGGTGCTGGGGTCATGTGGGTGCTGGGGTCCTATGGGTGCTGGGGTCCTATGGGTGCTGGGGGTGCATTTTGGGTGTCTTTGGGCGCATTTTGAGTGCATTTGGGTGCATTTTGTGTGTCTTTGGGTGCCTTTGGGTTCATTTTGGGTGCCTTTGGGTGTCTTTGGGTGCCTTTGGGTGCATTTGGGGTGCATTTTGGGTGTCTTTGGGTGCATTTTAATGTATTTTGGGTGAATTTCGGGTGTCTTTCTGTGTATTTTGGGTGTCTTTGGGTGCATTTTGGGTGTCTTTGGGTGTATTTGGGTGCATTTGGGCGCATTTCGGTGCATTTTGGGTGCATTTGGGTGTATTTTGGGTGTCTTAGGGTGTCTTTGGGTGTATTTTGGTGATTTGGGTGTATTTGTGTGCCTTAGGGTGTATTTTGGGTGCCTTTGGGTGCTTTTTGAGTGCCTTTGGGTGCATTTCGGGTTCCTTTGGGTGCATGTTGGGTGCCTTTGGGTTTCTCTGGGTGCATTTTGGTTGTCTTAGGGTGTCTTTGGTTGCATTTGGGTGCCTTTGGGTGCATTTTGGGTGTCTTTGGTTGCATTTTGGGTGTCTTTGGGTGCATTTCGGTGTATTTTGGGTGTCTTTGGGTGCATTTTGGGTGTATTTTGGGTGTCTGTGTATTTTGGGTGCATTTGGGTGTCTTAGGGTGTATTTCGGGTGTCTTTGGGTGCATTTTGAGTGCCTTTGGGTGCATTTCGGTGTATTTTGGGTGTCTTTCTGTGTATTTTGGGTGTCTTTGGTGCATTTTGGGTGCAATTCGGGTGTCTTTGGGTGCATTTTGGGTGCATTTGGGTGTCAGGGTGTATTTCGGGTGTCTTTGGGTGCATTTTGGGTGCCTTTGGGTGCATTTTTGTTGCCTTTGGGCGCATTTTTGTTGTCTTTGGGCGCATTTTGGGTGCCTTTGGGTGCATTTCGGGTGTCTTTGGGTGCATTTGGGTGTATTTTGGGTGCATTTTGGGTGCCTTTGGGTGCATTTCGGGTGTCTTTGGGTGCATTTGGGTGTATTTTGGGTGCATTTTGGGTGCATTTGGGTGCATTTCCGGGTGTCTTTGGGTGCATTTTTGGTCTCTTTGGGCACATTTTGGGTGCCTTTGGGTGCATTTCGGGTGTCTTTGGGTGCATTTTTGGTCTCTTTGGGTGCATTTCGGGTGTCTTTGGGTGCATTTTTGGTCTCTTTGGGCACATTTTGGGTGCCTTTGGGTGCATTTCGGGTGTCTTTGGGTGCATTTTTGGTCTCTTTGGGCACATTTTGGGTGCCTTTGGGTGCATTTCGGGTGTCTTTGGGTGCATTTTTGGTCTCTTTGGGCACATTTTGCGTGCCTTTGGGTGCATTTCGGGTGTCTTTGGGTGCATTTTTGGTCTCTTTGGGCACATTTTGCGTGCCTTTGGGTGCATTTCGGGTGTCTTTGGGTGCATTTGGGTGTATTTTGGGTGCATTTTGGGTGCATTTGGGTGCATTTGGGTGCCTTTGGGTGCATTTCGGGTGTCTTTGGGTGCATTTGGGTGTATTTTGGGTGCATTTTGGGTGCCTTTGGGCGCATTTTGGGTGCCTTTGGGTGCATTTCGGGTGTCTTTGGGTGCATTTGGGTGTATTTTGGGTGCATTTTGGGTGCCTTTGGGTGCATTTTTGTTGTCTTTGGGTGCATTTTTGGTCTCTTTGGGTGCATTTTGGGTGTCTTTGGGTGCATTTGGGTGTATTTTGGGCGCACTTTGGGTGCTTTGGGTGCATTTCGGGTGTCTTTGGGTGCATTTGGGTGTATTTTGGGCGCACTTTGGGTGCTTTGGGTGCATTTCGGGTGTCTTTGGGTGCATTTCGGGTGTCTTTGGGCGCACTTTGGGTGCTTTGGGTGCATTTCGGGTGTCTTTGGGTGCATTTTGGGTGTCTTTGGGCACATTTCGGGTGTCTTTGGGCGCATTTTGGGTGCCTTTGGGTGCCATTCGGGTGCCTTTGGGTGCCGCAGGCGGCGGAGGCGTTCCTGGTGCGCCTGTTGGAGGACGCGTACCTGTGCTCGCTGCACGCGCGCCGCGTCACCCTCTACCCGCGGGACCTGCAGCTCGCCCGGCGCCTGCGCGGCATCGACGGCGGCCTCGCCTGAGCCCCCCCCACCCATGGGGCCCCATTGACCTCTATGGACCCCATTGACCCCCATTGACCCCTATGGACCCCATTGACCCCCATTGACCCCCTATGGACCCCTATGGACCCCATTGACCCCTATGGACCCCTATGGACCCCATTGACCCCCATTGACCCCCTATGGACCCCTATGGACCCCATTGACCCCCATTGACCCTATGGACCCCATTGACCCCCATTGACCCCTATGGACCCCCTATGGACCCCATTGACCCTTATGGACCCCTATGGACCCCATGGGCCCCATTGACCCCCATTGACCCTAGGGAGCCCATTGACCCCCATTGACCCCTATGGACCCCCTATGGACCCCTATGGACCCCATTGACACCCATTGGAGCCCATTGAGCCCCTATGGACCCCATTGACCCTTATGGACCCCATGGGAGTGCATTGACCCCCATTGACCCCTATGGACCCCCTGTGGACCCCATGGGAGCCCATTGATCCCCATTGACCCCTATGGACCCCCTATGGACCCCATGGGCCCCATTGACACCCATTGGAGCCCATTGACCCCCTATGGACCCCATTGACCCCCATTGACCCTTATGGACCCCATGGGAGCCCATTGACCCCCATTGACCGCTAGGGACCCCATGGGAGCCCATTGACCCCCATTGACACCTATGGACCCCCTGTGGACCCCCTGGGAGCCCATTGACCCCCATTGACCCCTATGGATCCCCTATGGACCCCTATGGACCCCATGGGAGCCCATTGACCCCTATGGACCCCCTATGGACCCATGGGCCCCATTGACCCCCATGGGAGCCCATTGACCCCCATGGGCCCCATTGACCCCCATGGACCCCGTATGGACCCCATGGGCCCCATTGACCCCCATGGGAGCCCATTGACCCCTAGGCACCCCTATGGACCCCATGGGCCCCATTGACCCCCATTGACCCCTAGGGACCCCATGGGAGCCCATTGACCCCCATTGACCCCTATGGACCCCCTGTGGACCCTGTGGGCCCCATTGACCCCTATGGACCCCCTGTGGACCCTGTGGGCCCCATTGACCCCTATGGACCCCCTGTGGACCCCATGGGCCCCATTGACCCCCATTGACCCCTAGGGACCCCATGGGAGCCCATTGACCCCTATTGACCCCTATGGACCCCATGGGAGCCCATTGACCCTGACCCCTATGGACCCCCTATGGACCAATGGGCCCCATTGACCCCCATGGGAGCCCATTGACCCCCATTGACCCCCATGGACCCCCTATGGACCCCATGGGCCCCATTGACCCCCATGGGAGCCCATTGACCCCTATGCACCCCCTATGGACCCCATGGGCCCCATTGACCCCCATGGGAGCCCATTGACCCCCATGGGAGCCCATTAAACCCCACTGACCCTATGGACCCCCTATGGACCTCATGGGCCCCATTGACCCCCATGGGAGCACATTGACCCCCACTGACCTCTATGGACCCCATGGGCCCCATTGACCCCCATGGGAGCCCACTGACCCCCATTGACACCTGTGGACCCCTATGGGAGCCCATTCACCCCTATGGGACACCATTGACCCCTATGGGAACCCATTGACCCCCATGGACTTCTGTGGGAGCCCATTCACCCCTATGGGACACCATTGACCCCTATGGACCCCCTATGGACCCCATGGGCCCCATTAATCCCCATGGGAGCCCATTGACCCTTGTGGACACCCTGTGGACCCCATGGGCCCCATTGACCCCCATGGGAGCCCGTTGACCCCTATGGACCCCATGGGCCCCATTGACCCCTATGGGAGCCCTTTGACCCCAATGGGACACCATTGACCCCTATGGACCCCATGGGCCCCATTGACCCCTATGGGACACCATTGACCCCTATGGGACACTGTTGACCCCCATGGGAGCCCATTGACCCCTATGACCCCCCTTGACTCCTATGGACCCCATTGACACCCCCAATGGGACCCCAATACCCCCATGGACCCCAACACCCCAATGGGACCCCAATACCCCCATGGACCCCAACACCCCAATGGGACCCCAACACGCCCAATGGGACCCCAATACCCCCATGGACCCCAATACTCCCCATGGGACCCCAATACCCCCATGGACCCCAATACCCCCCCAATGGGACCCCACCATCCCCAATGGGACCCCAACACCCCCAATGGGACCCCAACACCCCCAATGGGACCCCAATACCCCCATGGACCCCAGTACCCCCACTGACCCCAATACCCCCATGGACCCCAGTACCCCCCAATGGGACCCCACCATCCCCAATGGGACCCCAACACCCCCATGGACCCCAACACCCCCATGGACCCCAACACCCCCAATGGGACCCCAATACCCCCATGGACCCCAATACTCCCCATGGGGCCCCCCATAGACCCCCCCAGACCCCCCACGTTAATGAAGACTCCCTTATGGGGATGCTGCCCCCCCCCCCCCCCGTGACCCCCAACCTCCCCTGGACCCCCCCCAAGGCACCCATCCCCCTATAGGGGCCCCGCTATGGGGCGCCCCCATTGCGCTCTGCCCCCAATAAAGGTCCATGGGACCCCAGACTGGTGTCACCCCGCCTGCCCCCCACCTGCCCCACTGCGCCCCACACATCGCACAGGACATGGGGGGCTCGCGCATCCTTTATTCCCCCCCTCTCCCCATAGAAAAGGTTCTTCCCCCCCCCCACAAGTCCTTCCTGGGTGCCCCGAATCTATGGGGTGCCCTGGATCTATGGGGTGCCCTGGATCTATGGGGCGCCCCGGATCTATGGGGTGCCCTGGATCTATGGGGTGCCCCGGATCCATGGGGTGCCCCGGATCCATGGGGTGCCCCAGATCTATGGGGTGCCCCTGATCTATGGGGTGTCCCGGATCCATGGGGTGCCCCTGATCCATGGGGTGCCCCGGATCAATGGGGTGCCCCGGATCCATTGGGTGCCCTGGATCTATGGGGTGCCCCAGATCTATGGGGTGCCCCCGATCTATGGGTATCCCTGGATCTATGGGGTGCCCCGGATCCATGGGGTGCCCCAGATCTATGGGGTGCCCCCCAAGTGTGGGTCGCCCTCAGTCGCGCTGGGGCCGCAGCTTCATCTCGGTGAAGGGGATGGAGAACTCAAATCCTTTCCATGGGAACCACGTGACACCCTTGGGGGGGAGGGGGGCGTCAGGCCCCATAGTAGCCCCATAGATTCCCCCCCCAGAGACCACAGTGACCCCCATAGAGCCCCCACAGAACCCCCAGAGCTCCATTACCCCCATAGGTCCTCATTGTCCCATTGCCCCCATTGTTCCCCATTGTTCCCCCCATTGTTCCCCCCATTGTTCCCCATTGTCCCCCATTGTTCCCCATTGTCCCCCATCGTTCCCCATCGTCCCCCATCGTTCCCCATTGTTCCCCATTGTTCCCCATCGTTCCCCATTGTCCCCCATTGTTCCCCATTGTTCCCCATTGTCCCCCATTGTTCCCCATTGTTCCCCATTGTCCCCCATTGTCCCCCATTGTCCCCATTGTTCCCCATTGTTCCCATTGTTCCCCATTGTTCCCCATTGTTCCCCATTGTCCCCCATTGTTCCTCCATTGTCCCCCATTGTTCCCCATTGTCCCCCATTGTTCCCCCCATTGTTCCCCATTGTTCCCCATTGTTCCCATTGTTCCCATTGTCCCCCATTGTTCCCCATTGTTCCCCCCATTGTTCCCCATTGTTCCCCCATTGTTCCCCATTGTTCCCCATTGTTCCCCATTGTTCCCCATTGTTCCCCATTGTCCCCCATTATTCCCCATTGTTCCCATTGTCCCCCATTGTTCCCCATTGTTCCCCATTGTTCCCCATTGTCCCCCATTGTTCCCCATTGTCCCCCATTGTTCCCATTGTTCCCCATTGTTCCCATTGTTCCCATTGTTCCCCATTGTTCCCATTGTTCCCCCATTGTTCCCCCATTGTTCCCATTGTCCCCCATTGTTCCCCCATTGTTCCCATTGTCCCCCATTGTCCCCCATTGCCCCCATTGTCCCCCATTGTCCCCCATTGTTCCCATTGTCCCCCATTGTCCCCCATTGTTCCCCATTGTCCCCATTGTCCCCCATTGTCCCCCATTGTCCCCCATTATTCCCCATTGTCCCCCATTATTCCCCATTGTCCCCCATTGTTCCCCATTATTCCCCATTGTCCCCCATTGTTCCCATTGTCCCCCATTGTCCCCCATTGTTCCCCATTGTCCCCATTGTCCCCCATTGTCCCCCATTATTCCCCATTGTCCCCCATTGTCCCCCATTGTTCCCCATTGTTCCCCATTGTTCCCCCATTGTTCCCCATTGTTCCCCATTGTCCCCCATTGTTCCCCATTGTTCCCCATTGTTCCCCCCATTGTTCCCCATTGTTCCCATTGTTCCCCATTGTTCCCCATTGTCCCCCATTGTTCCCCATTGTTCCCATTGTCCCCCATTGTCCCCATTGTTCCCCATTGTTCCCCATTGTCCCCATTGTTCCCATTGTCCCCCATTGTTCCCCATTGTTCCCCATTGTTCCCCATTGTTCCCCATTGTTCCCATTGTTCCCATTGTCCCCATTATTCCCATTGTCCCCCATTGTTCCCATTGTTCCCCATTGTTCCCATTGTTCCCCATTGTTCCCATTGTCCCCCATTGTCCCCCATTGTTCCCCATTGTTCCCATTGTCCCCCATTGTCCCCATTGTTCCCCATTGTTCCCCATTGTCCCCATTGTTCCCATTGTCCCCCATTGTTCCCCATTGTTCCCCATTGTTCCCCATTGTTCCCCATTGTTCCCATTGTTCCCATTGTCCCCATTATTCCCATTGTCCCCCATTGTTCCCATTGTTCCCCATTGTTCCCATTGTTCCCCATTGTTCCCATTGTCCCCCATTGTTCCCCATTGTCCCCCATTGTTCCCCATTGTTCCCCATTGTCCCCCATTGTCCCCCATTGTTCCCCATTGTTCCCATTGTTCCCCATTGTTCCCCATTGTTCCCATTGTTCCCCATTGTCCCCATTGTTCCCCATTGTTCCCCATTGTTCCCCATTGTCCCCCATTGTTTCCCCCATTGTTCCCCATTGTCCCCCATTGTTTCCCATTGTCCCCCATTGTTCCCATTGTCCCCATTGTTCCCATTGTCCCCCATTGTTCCCATTGTTCCCCATTGTCCCCCATTGTCCCCCATTGTCCCCATTGTTCCCCATTGTTCCCCATTGTCCCCATTGTTCCCATTGTCCCCCATTGTTCCCCATTGTTCCCCATTGTTCCCATTGTTCCCCATTGTACCTGATGCTCTCTCGGGTTCCCGTACCTCCCGTTCAGGTTCGCGTAGTGACAGTTCCGGTACCACCAGGCCCCCCCGTAGGCCACGGCGCAGGGACGGGGGCGGCCCCGGGGGTCCCGGTCCCGGGTGGAGAACGGGTTCCCGGCGTGGTAGGAGAGAGCATCACCTGTAGGACACATACAGACCCCATAGAGACCCCATAGAGACCCCATAGAGACCCATAGAGACCCCATAGAGACCCCATAGAGACCCCATAGAGACCCCATAGAGACCCCATAGAGACCCCATAGAGACACATAGGGACACATAGGGACCCCATAGGGACACATAGAGACCCATAGAGACCCCATAGAGACCCCATAGAGACCCCATAGAGACCCCATAGAGACACATAGAGACACATAGAGACACATAGGGACCCCATAGGGACACATAGGGACACATAGGGACACATAGAGACACATAGAGACACATAGGGACACATAGGGACACATAGGGACGCATAGAGACACATACAGACCCCATAGAGACCCCATAGAGACCCCATAGAGACCCCATAGAGACACATAGAGACACATAGGGACACATAGAGACACATAGGGACACATAGAGACACATAGGGACACATAGAGACCCCATAGAGACCCCATAGAGACCCCATAGAGACCCCATAGAGACACATAGAGACCCCATAGAGACCCCATAGAGACCCCATAGAGACACCATAGAGACACATAGAGACACATAGGGACCCCATAGGGACACATAGGGACACATAGGGACACATAGAGACACATAGAGACACATAGGGACACATAGGGACACATAGGGACACATAGAGACCCATAGAGACCCCATAGAGACCCCATAGAGACCCCATAGAGACACACAGAGACACATAGGGACACATAGAGACACATAGGGACACATAGAGACACATAGGGACACATAGGGACACATAGAGACACATAGAGACACATAGAGACACATAGGGACACATAGAGACACATAGAGACACATAGAGACACATAGGGACCCCATAGGGACACATAGGGACACATAGGGACACATAGAGACACATAGAGACACATAGGGACACATAGGGACACATAGGGACGCATAGAGACACATACAGACCCCATAGAGACCCCATAGAGACCCCATAGAGACCCCATAGAGACACATAGAGACACATAGGGACACATAGAGACACATAGGGACACATAGAGACACATAGGGACACATAGAGACCCCATAGAGACCCCATAGAGACCCCATAGAGACCCCATAGAGACACATAGAGACCCCATAGAGACCCCATAGAGACCCCATAGAGACACCATAGAGACACATAGAGACACATAGGGACCCCATAGGGACACATAGGGACACATAGGGACACATAGAGACACATAGAGACACATAGGGACACATAGGGACACATAGGGACACATAGAGACCCATAGAGACCCCATAGAGACCCCATAGAGACCCCATAGAGACACACAGAGACACATAGGGACACATAGAGACACATAGGGACACATAGAGACACATAGGGACACATAGGGACACATAGAGACACATAGAGACACATAGAGACACATAGGGACACATAGAGACACATAGAGACACATAGAGACACATAGGGACCCCATAGGGACACATAGGGACACATAGGGACACATAGAGACACATAGAGACACATAGGGACACATAGGGACACATAGGGACGCATAGAGACACATACAGACCCCATAGAGACCCCATAGAGACCCCATAGAGACCCCATAGAGACACATAGAGACACATAGGGACACATAGAGACACATAGGGACACATAGAGACACATAGGGACACATAGAGACCCCATAGAGACCCCATAGAGACCCCATAGAGACCCCATAGAGACACATAGAGACCCCATAGAGACCCCATAGAGACCCCATAGAGACACCATAGAGACACATAGAGACACATAGGGACCCCATAGGGACACATAGGGACACATAGGGACACATAGAGACACATAGAGACACATAGGGACACATAGGGACACATAGGGACACATAGAGACCCATAGAGACCCCATAGAGACCCCATAGAGACCCCATAGAGACACACAGAGACACATAGGGACACATAGAGACACATAGGGACACATAGAGACACATAGGGACACATAGGGACACATAGAGACACATAGAGACACATAGAGACACATAGGGACACATAGAGACACATAGAGACACATAGAGACACATAGGGACACATAGGGACACATAGAGACACATAGGGACACATAGAGACACATAGAGACACATAGGGACACATAGAGACACATAGGGACACATAGGGACACATAGAGACACATAGAGACACATAGGGACACATAGAGACACATAGAGACACATAGAGACACATAGGGACACATAGGGACCCCATAGGGACACATAGGGACACATAGAGACACATAGGGACACATAGGGACCCCATAGGGACACATAGGGACCCCATAGGGACACATAGGGACACATAGAGACACATAGAGACACATAGAGACACATAGAGACACATAGAGACACATAGGGACACATAGGGACCCCATAGGGACACATAGGGACACATAGAGACACATAGGGACACATAGAGACACATGGGGACCATAGGGATACATGGGGACACATAGGGACCCCTGGAGACACATGGGGACCCATAGGGACCCATAGGGACCCATGGAGACCATAGGGACACAGAGAGACCGTAGACACCCTTAGAGACCCATAGAGATCATAGAGACCATAGAGCCCATACAGATCCATAGAGACCCATAGGGACCCACAGAGATCATAGAGAGAGACCCATAGAGAACATAGAGACCCATAGACACTATTATAGAGACCTATAGAGACCCATAGAGCCCACAGACACCTTATAGAAACCCATAGAGACCCATAGAGACCCATAGAGTGCATAGACACCTCATAGGGACCCATAGAGACTATGGAGACCTCATAGAGAATAGAGACCATAGACACCCCATAGGCACCCCATAGGCACCCATAGGCACCCCTTAGACACCCATAGAGATCATAGACCCCTACACACCCATAGGCACCCCATAGACACCCATAGAGGCCTTAGACACCCATAGACACCACATAGGCACCCCATAGACACCCCATAGAGACCATAGACACCCCTAAGACACCCCATAGACATCCATAGGCACCCATAGACACCCATTGAAAACATAGACGCCATATAGGCACCTATAGTCACCCATAGACACCCATAGGTACCCATAGACACCCGTAGACACCCCATAGACACCCATAGACATCCCATAGACACCCCATAGACACCCCATAGACACTCCATAGACACCCATAGACACCCCATAGACACCCCATAGGCACCCCATAGACACTCCATAGACACCCCATAGACACTCCATAGACACCCCATAGACACCCCATAGACACTCCATAGACACCCCATAGACACCCCATAGACACTCCATAGACACTCCATAGACACCCCATAGACACTCCATAGACACCCATAGACACCCCATGGACACCCCATAGACACCCCATAGACACCCCATAGACACCCCATAGACACTCCATAGACACTCCATAGACACCCCATAGAAACTCCATAGATACCCCATAGACACCCATAGATACCCCATAGAGACCCCATAGACACCCATAGATACCCCATAGACACCCATAGATACCCCATAGACGCCCATAGACACCCCATAGACACCCCATAGACCCCCATAGACACTCCATAGACACCCCATAGAAACTCCATGGGTATCCCATAGACACCCACAGATACCCCGTAGACACTCCATAGATACCCCATAGACACCCATAGATACCCCATAGACACTCCATAGATACCCCATAGAGACCCCATAGACACCCATAGATACCCCATAGAGACCCCATAGACACCCATAGATACCCCATAGAGACCCCATAGACACCCATAGATACCCCATAGACATCCATAGATACCCCATAGACGCCCATAGACACCCCATAGACACCCATAGATACCCCATAGACACTCCATAGATACCCCATAGACACCCATAGATATCCCATAGACACCCCATAGACACCCATAGATACCCCATAGACACCCATAGATACCCCATAGACACTCCATAGATACCCCATAGACACCCATAGATACCCCGTAGACACCCATAGATACCCCATAGACACCCATAGACACCCCATAGACACCCATAGATACCCCATAGACACTCCATAGATACCCCATAGACACCCATAGATACCCCATAGACACCCCATAGACACCCATAGATACCCCATAGACACCCATAGATACCCCATAGACACTCCATAGATACCCCATAGACACCCATAGATACCCCATAGACGCCCATAGATACCCCATAGACGCCCATAGACACCCCATAGACACCCATAGATACCCCATAGACACTCCATAGATACCCCATAGACACCCATAGATACCCCATAGACACCCCATAGACACCCATAGATACCCCATAGACACCCATAGATACCCCATAGACTCCCATAGACACCCCATAGACACCCATAGATACCCCATAGACACTCCATAGATACCCCATAGACGCCCATAGATACCCCATAGACGCCCATAGATACCCCATAGACACCCCATAGACACCCATAGATACCCCATAGACCTCCCATGGGACATTGGACTGCTGAGGACTCCACCAGGGTCCCAAGACCCGAATAGACCCCATAGAACCAAGTAGCCCCACAGTCTCCCTTAGCCCCATAGCCCCACATAGCCCCCCTTTGCCCCATAGCCACCAATAGCCCCACATATCTTCCCTTCGCCCCATAGCCACCAATACCGCCCCTTAGCCCCATAGCCACCAATAGCCCCACATACCTTCCCTTAGCCCCATAGCCACCAATAGCCCCACATAGCCTCCCTTAGCCCCATACCCACCAATAGCCCCACATACCTTCCCTTAGCCCCATAGCCACCAATAGCCCCACATAGCCTCCCTTAGCCCCATAGCCACCAATACCGCCCCTTAGCCCCATAGCCACCAATAGCCCCACATACCTTCCCTTAGCCCCATAGCCACCAATAGCCCCACATAGCCTCCCTTAGCCCCATAGCCACCAATACCGCCCCTTAGCCCCATAGCTCCCCTTAGCCCCATAGCCCCCATAGGTACCCATAGCCCCATAGCCACCAATAGCCCCACATAGCCCCCCACAGACCTCCATAGCCCCCCTTAGCCCCATAGCCCCCCATAGGTACCCATAGCCCCATAGCTACCAATAGTGCCCCATAGCCCCCCATAGGCGTCCATAGCCCCCCTTAGCCCCATAGGCCCCCATAACCTCCCTTAGCCCCATAGCCCCCCATAGCCCCACATAGCCTCCTTTACCCCATAGCCACCAATAGCCCCACATACCTTTCCTTAGCCCCATAGCCACCAAAACCCCACATAGGTCCGCATAGTCTCCCTTAAACCCATAGCCACCAACAGCCCCACATAGACACCCTTAGCCCCATAGCCACCAATAGCCCCACATAGCCCCCCATAGGCCCACATAGCCTCCCTTAACCCCTTAGCCACCAATAGCGCCCCATAGCTCCCCATAGGCCCACATAGCCACCAATAGCCCCACATAGCCTCCCTTAGCCCCATAGCCACCAGTAGCCCCATATAGCCCCCCATAGGCCCACATAGCCTCCCTTAGCCCCATAGCCACCAATAGACCCACATAGCCTCCCTTAGCCCTGTAGCCACCAACAGCGCCCCTTAGCCCCATAGCCCCCCATTGGCCCCCATAGCCCCCCTTAGCCCCATAGCCCCATAGCCCCCCTTAGCCCTAGAGTCCCCCATAGGTCCCTATAGCCACCAATAGCGCCCCGTAGCCCCCATAGGCCTCCATAACCCCCCTTAGCCCCATAGCCCCCCATAGCCTCCCTTAGCTCCATAGCCCCCCATAGCCTCCCTTAGCCCCATAGCCCCCCATAGCCTCCCTTAGCTCCATAGCCCCCCATAGGTCCCCATAGCCCCCTTAGCCCCATAGCCCCCCATCTCCCCCCATAGCCCCCCATAGCCTCCCTTAGCCCCATACCCCCCCAATAGAACCCCATAGCCCCCCTTAGCCCCATAGCCCCCCATCTCCCCCCATAGCCCTCCATAGCCTCCCTTAGCTCCATAGCCCCCCAATAGGACCCCATAGCCTCCCTTAGCCCCATAGCCCCCCAATAGGACCCCATAGCCCCCCTTAGCCCCATAGCCCCCCATCTCCCCCCATAGTCCCCCATAGCCTCCCTTAGCCCCATAGCCCCCCAATAGGACCCCATAGCCCCCCTTAGCCCCATAGCCCCCCATCTCCCCCCATAGCCCCCCATAGCCTCCCTTAGCCCCATACCCCCCCAATAGAACCCCATAGCCCCCCTTAGCCCCATAGCCCCCCATCTCCCCCCATAGCCCTCCATAGCCTCCCTTAGCCCCATAGCCCCCCATCTCCCCCCATCGCCCCATAGCGCCCCATAGCGCCCCCCGTCGCACCGGCGGTGCCGCTGTAGGCTCCCAGGCTCAGCCCGTAGTGCTCGTGGGGCCCGGCCACGCGGAAGTCCCGGTAGCGGGCGAAGGCGGCGTCGAGCGCGGAGCGGAGATCGACCCGGAGCTCCATGGGGCCGGAGGAGGTGAGAGCGTGGAGAGCGGCGTTACCTGAACCGGGACGTGGGGACGGAGGTGGGTGAGCAAGGACGTGGACATGGGGGTGTAGGGACATGGACATGGATGTGGGTGAGCATGGACATGGACATGGGGGGGTATGGACATGGACATGGGTGAGTATGGACATGGACATGGGTGAGTATGGACATGGACATGGGTGAGTATGGACATGGACATGGGTGAGTATGGACATGGACATGGGTGAGTATGGACATGGACATGGGTGAGTATGGACATGGGTGAGCATGGACATGGACATGGGTGAGTATGGACATGGACATGGGTGAGTATGGACATGGACATGGGTGAGTATGGACATGGACGTGGGTGAGTATGGATATGGACATGGGTGAGCATGGACATGGACATGGGTGAGTATGGACATGGACATGGGTGAGTATGGACATGGATATGGGTGAGTATGGACATGGACATGGGTGAGTATGGACATGGACATGGGTGAGCACGGACATGGACATGGGTGAGCATGGACATGGACATGGGTGAGTATGGACATGGGTGAGCATGGACATGGACATGGGTGAGTATGGACATGGACATGGGTGAGTATGGACATGGACATGGGTGAGCATGGACATGGACATGGGTGAGCATGGACATGGACATGGGTGAGCATGGACATGGACATGGGTGAGTATGGACATGGACATGGGTGAGTATGGACATGGGTGAGCATGGACATGGACATGGGTGAGCATGGACATGGACATGGGTGAGCATGGACATGGACATGGATGAGTATGGACATGGATATGGGTGAGTATGGACATGGACATGGGTGAGCATGGACATGGACATGGGTGAGCATGGACATGGACATGGGTGAGTATGGACATGGACATGGGTGAGTATGGACATGGACATGGGTGAGTATGGACATGGACATGGGTGAGTATGGACATGGACATGGGTGAGCATGGACATGGACATGGGTGAGTATGGACATGGACATGGGTGAGTATGGACATGGGTGAGCATGGACATGGACATGGGTGAGCATGGACATGGACATGGGTGAGTATGGACATGGACATGGATGAGTATGGACATGGACATGGGTGAGTATGGACATGGACATGGGTGAGCATGGACATGGACATGGATGAGTATGGACATGGATATGGGTGAGTATGGACATGGACATGGGTGAGCATGGACATGGACATGGGTGAGCATGGACATGGACATGGGTGAGTATGGACATGGACATGGGTGAGTATGGACATGGACATGGGTGAGTATGGACATGGACTTGGGTGAGTATGGACATGGACATGGGTGAGTATGGACATGGACATGGGTGAGTATGGACATGGACTTGGGTGAGTATGGACATGGACATGGGTGAGTATGGACATGGACATGGATGAGTATGGACATGGACATGGGTGAGTATGGACATGGACATGGGTGAGCATGGACATGGGTGAGTATGGACATGGACATGGGTGAGTATGGACATGGACATGGGTGAGTATGGACATGGACATGGATGAGTATGGACATGGATATGGGTGAGTATGGACATGGACATGGGTGAGTATGGACATGGGTGAGCATGGACATGGACATGGGTGAGTATGGACATGGACATGGGTGAGTATGGACATGGGTGAGTATGGACATGGACATGGGTGAGTATGGACATGGACATGGGTGAGTATGGACATGGACATGGGTGAGTATGGACATGGACATGGGTGAGCATGGACATGGACATGGGTGAGTATGGACATGGATATGGGTGAGTATGGACATGGACATGGGTGAGTATGGACATGGACATGGGTGAGCATGGACATGGACATGGGTGAGTATGGACATGGACATGGGTGAGTATGGACATGGACATGGGTGAGTATGGACATGGACATGGGTGAGCATGGACATGGACATGGGTGAGTATGGACATGGATATGGGTGAGCATGGACATGGACATGGGTGAGCATGGACATGGACATGGGTGAGTATGGACATGGACATGGGTGAGTATGGACATGGACGTGGGTGAGCATGGACATGGACATGGGTGAGCATGGACATGGACATGGGTGAGTATGGACATGGACATGGGTGAGTATGGACATGGACATGGGTGAGTATGGACATGGACTTGGGTGAGCATGGATATGGGTGAGCATGGACATGGACATGGGTGAGTATGGACATGGACATGGGTGAGCATGGACATGGACATGGGTGAGTATGGACATGGACTTGGGTGAGCATGGACATGGGTGAGTATGGACATGGACATGGGTGAGTATGGACATGGACATGGGTGAGTATGGACATGGACATGGGTGAGTATGGACATGGGTGAGCATGGACATGGACATGGGTGAGTATGGACATGGACATGGGTGAGTATGGACATGGATATGGGTGAGTATGGACATGGACATGGGTGAGCATGGACATGGACATGGGTGAGTATGGACATGGACTTGGGTGAGCATGGACATGGGTGAGTATGGACATGGACATGGGTGAGTATGGACATGGACTTGGGTGAGCATGGATATGGGTGAGCATGGACATGGACATGGGTGAGTATGGACATGGACATGGGTGAGCATGGACATGGACATGGGTGAGTATGGACATGGACTTGGGTGAGCATGGACATGGGTGAGTATGGACATGGACATGGGTGAGCATGGACATGGACATGGGTGAGTATGGACATGGACATGGGTGAGTATGGACATGGACATGGGTGAGCATGGACATGGACATGGGTGAGTATGGACATGGACATGGGTGAGCATGGACATGGACATGGGTGAGCATGGACATGGACATGGGTGAGTATGGACATGGATATGGGTGAGTATGGACATGGACATGGGTGAGCATGGACATGGACATGGGTGAGTATGGACATGGATATGGGTGAGTATGGACATGGACATGGGTGAGCATGGACATGGACATGGGTGAGTATGGACATGGACTTGGGTGAGCATGGACATGGGTGAGTATGGACATGGACATGGGTGAGCATGGACATGGACATGGGTGAGTATGGACATGGACATGGGTGAGTATGGACATGGACATGGGTGAGCATGGACATGGACATGGGTGAGTATGGACATGGACATGGGTGAGTATGGACATGGACATGGGTGAGTATGGACATGGACATGGGTGAGTATGGACATGGACATGGGGTGAGCATGGACATGGACATGGGTGAGTATGGACATGGACATGGGTGAGTATGGACATGGACGTGGGTGAGCATGGACATGGACATGGGTGAGCATGGACATGGACATGGGTGAGTATGGACATGGACATGGGTGAGTATGGACATGGACTTGGGTGAGCATGGATATGGGTGAGCATGGACATGGACATGGGTGAGTATGGACATGGACATGGGTGAGCATGGACATGGACATGGGTGAGTATGGACATGGACTTGGGTGAGCATGGACATGGGTGAGTATGGACATGGACATGGGTGAGCATGGACATGGACATGGGTGAGTATGGACATGGACATGGGTGAGTATGGACATGGATATGGGTGAGTATGGACATGGACATGGGTGAGCATGGACATGGACATGGGTGAGTATGGACATGGACTTGGGTGAGCATGGACATGGGTGAGTATGGACATGGACATGGGTGAGTATGGACATGGACTTGGGTGAGCATGGATATGGGTGAGCATGGACATGGACATGGGTGAGTATGGACATGGACATGGGTGAGCATGGACATGGACATGGGTGAGTATGGACATGGACTTGGGTGAGCATGGACAAGGGTGAGTATGGACATGGACATGGGTGAGCATGGACATGGACATGGGTGAGTATGGACATGGACATGGGTGAGTATGGACATGGACATGGGTGAGCATGGACATGGACATGGGTGAGTATGGACATGGATATGGGTGAGTATGGACATGGACATGGGTGAGCATGGACATGGACATGGGTGAGTATGGACATGGACTTGGGTGAGCATGGACATGGGTGAGTATGGACATGGACATGGGTGAGCATGGACATGGACATGGGTGAGTATGGACATGGACATGGGTGAGTATGGACATGGACATGGGTGAGCATGGACATGGACATGGGTGAGTATGGACATGGACATGGGTGAGTATGGACATGGACATGGGTGAGTATGGACATGGACATGGGTGAGTATGGACATGGATATGGGTGAGTATGGACATGGACATGGGTGAGCATGGACATGGACATGGGTGAGTATGGACATGGGTGAGCATGGACGTGGACATGGGTGAGCATGGACATGGACATGGGTGAGCATGGACATGGACATGGGTGAGTATGGACATGGGTGAGTATGGACATGGACATGGGTGAGTATGGACATGGACATGGGTGAGTATGGACATGGGTGAGTATGGACATGGACATGGGTGAGTATGGACATGGGTGAGTATGGACATGGACATGGGTGAGTATGGACATGGACATGGGTGAGCACGGACATGGACATGGGTGAGTATGGACATGGGTGAGTATGGACATGGACATGGGTGAGTATGGACATGGACATGGGTGAGTATGGACATGGACATGGGTGAGCATGGACATGGACATGGGTGAGTATGGACATGGGTGAGCATGGACGTGGACATGGGTGAGCATGGACATGGACATGGGTGAGCATGGACATGGACATGGGTGAGTATGGACATGGACATGGGGTGAGTATGGACATGGGAAGGGTGAGTATGGACATGGACATGGGTGAGTATGGACATGGACATGGGTGAGTATGGACATGGGTGAGTATGGACATGGACATGGGTGAGTATGGACATGGGTGAGTATGGACATGGACATGGGTGAGTATGGACATGGACATGGGTGAGTATGGACATGGGTGAGTATGGACATGGACATGGGTGAGTATGGACATGGACATGGGTGAGCATGGACATGGACATGGGTGAGTATGGACA